AAAATTTAATGCCGTCCTTGGGAAAACGTCCAACAGCAATGTCTGGATCGCACCACTGACCGTCCAATCAGGAGAGCCTGTCGGCCATCTTGGACATGCAGCACGGCACGGACTTCATAAAGGGATGAGTCCAGGATGCCAGTGTCCAGAATAATGCAACTGAGTCGCTGCGGGTGCGCCCATTATAATCCTCAGTGTCCCCCGACTTCAGACCTTGCTGTAGAGCCATGAATAGAAATAAAAGGCACCAAAATGGCGGGTTTTCCGCTGCTGATAGCTGGGCCGGCACAGACGTGAAAAGTAAAAACCGACGTCCTTATTGTTTCAATTTCCTTTACAAAGCTCTGATCTTGGCATATATGTGATTTGGGTTAGGAGTGTCTTTATAAAAACAATTTGCAGAACCATTCATCCCGTTCTGTGGAGGTCAAAAATTCATGTTATCAGTACATTTTCTTTCCAAGTCGAATGTAATATCAGGAAAGTACCCCATTATGGCCACTAGATGGAGGCGAAGAGCATAGGAAATACTTATTTCCTATTCTATTTGTCGCCACCTAGTGGCCAATATGTGGTGTGGCAACAGCGATCATAGGAAATAAGTATTTCCTATGCTCCTCAGCTCCATCTAGGGGCCATAATGGGGTATTTTCCTGATATTAAATTCGACCTGGAAAGAAAATATACTAAAAACATCAGTTTTTTTTGCCTCCATTAGCACAGAACAGATGCCCGTGTAGTTTCTGAGGTTCGAAGGGCTTGAGAATTTTTTTTTATATGATATTTCAAACCCAAAAGAACATTTTTGGATGGAGTAGGAAAGGATCAGACCCTCGGTCACGGTTTTGCTGCTGTCTATGTCACTGATGGGAGAAATACCCTGGTCATCAATGTCCCCGGGCTCAAGGGTCCAATTATTTTATAGGGGACTTGTAGGGTGCCAACTATATCAACCAAGACAGTCATGTGATGAACCAAAAATGAACCCCCATAGAGGAGACATTGCAGGGATATATGACCACAACCCACCCCCATAGAGGAGACATTGCAGGGATATATGACCACAACCCACCCCCATAGAGGAGACCTTGCAGAGATATATGACCACAACCCACCCCCATAGAGGAGACATTGCAGGGATATATGAGGTGTATCTACAGCCCACCCCCATATAGGAGACATTAAAGGGATATACGACCACAACCCACCCCCATATAGGAGACATTGCAGGGATATATGAGGTGTATCCACAACCATCGGAGTCCATATGTAGCTCCAACCAATCTGTCCATGGGAGGTCCTCCTATATCAGATGCATGACAAACGTTCCCATCGTCAATGGAGCTTAGATTCCATTGTAAGACCACATCCTGGTGGCCGGCCAGCCAGGAAGTGATCTCATCAAGCCAGAATGTGGAAGCCACCTTACCCTGGACAGAAGGTGTTGGATATTCCAAATGGTCACCGGAGATGAGGAATCGTGCAATGGGTACCCCTGTTCCAGGGACAACTAAGATGGGATTTCCTCTTATTTCCTGTTGTGTCATCGTGGCAGGAAATCCAGTATTTTACAGACGGGGAATCTTCCAATGGGGACACCTGTCACGGTGATGGCTAAGATGGGATTTGCCTGCACTTTGGAAAGATTTCCGATATATGAAATGGGACATAGATGGCAAAAACCTGACAAGGGTTCCGACTAGGGAGTCACCGATGCCGATACTGAGTATTTGGGTGAGTACTCGTCCAAATGCTCCAATGCCTAGCCCGGTACCCGGACTTCCGGTATCAGTGAGCCAGGCACCTGGAGCCGGCTTTCCAGTGTAATGACTCGCTGCCCGACTTCCTGGTTGGTTGAGAAGCTGGCCAGTCAAGAAGCAAGTCATTACCCGCCCCCGGCTTCCTGATTGGCTGGGAAGCTGGCTCCATGCTTCCTCATCACCTGGTGACGAGGGAGCATGGAGCCGGCTTCCCAGCCAATCAGAAAGCCGGGGGTGGGTAATTACTTGCTGCCTGGCTTCCTGATTGGCCAGATAGCCGACTACATTCTCCCTCATCACCTGGTGATGAGGAAGTATGGGGACGGCTTCCCTGTTAATCAGGAAGCCAGGGGGCGAGTCATTGCACCCTGCCTGGCTTCCTTAATGGGACTTCCGGTATCGGCAAGCACCGGAAAAACGGTATTGGTGCACCCCTGGTTCCAACCCTACTCCAAAAACTGGAACAACGTTTTAGCTTCAGATTGACTTTAAAGGGTGATTTAGAAAATGAGGCCTCCTTTATCTAGCTCCCGCTCCTCCAGAAGATATCAGGACCTTCTACTGTCCTCTGCAGACTGAACAAGGAACCGTTCACAGACACCATTGCTCATAATTATATGGTCGTGTCGCAGTTCCGGTTTTCACCACCAGGTCGCACCGCGTTGACAAATCTGTAGCTGCAGCTGAATCTGCGTGCTAAGGGGAGGTGGAAGTATAAGAAACATGGAGGCTCCCCACTTCCCGGCAAGGGTTGTAAGATGTGTGAGTGCTGAGGTGGCGGCTGAAGTTAGTCCGGTGGCTGAATCCCTTCCCGCATATGGAGCAGCAATATGGCGTCTCCCCCGTGTGGGTCCTCTCATGAAGAATGAATTCGTACTTCCGCAGGAACCATTTGCCGCACTGCGGACAACAGTGCGGCTTCTCCCCCGTGTGGATCTTCTTGTGAAGGCCGAGTTCGTAGTTCCGGCTGAAGCGCTTCCCACACTCGGCGCACTCGTACGGCTTCTCCCCCGTGTGAGTCCGCTCGTGCTTCACCAGCTCCGACTTGGCCACAAAGCCCTTGCCGCACTCGCCGCAGATGTACGGCCGCTCGCCCGTGTGGATCCGCTCGTGTTTGATCATGGCCGACTTGTGGGCGAAGCTTCTCTTGCAGACGGGGCAGTCGAAGGGCTTCTCCCCGGTGTGGATCCGCTTGTGGCGGTCCATGTTCTGTTTGGTGCCAAAGCTTTTGCCGCACGCGTCGCAGGAGTAGGGCTTGTCGCCCGTGTGGACCCGCTGGTGGATGACGAGGTGGGAGTTGTTGGAGAAGCAGCGCCCGCATTGGAGGCAGGAGTAAGGCTTGTCCCCCGTGTGGACCCGCTGGTGGCGGATAAGATGGGAACTGTTGGCGAAGCTCCTCCGGCAATCTAGGCAGGAGTACGGCTTCTCGCCCGTGTGGACTCTCTGGTGCCGGACTAGGTGTGAGTTATTCGCAAAGGATTTCCCACACTCGGAGCAAAAATAGCGCTTGTCAACCATGTGCGCGGTCCGTTGCGTTATGATTTGGGCATTGTCCGCGAAGCATGACCCACAGGTGGTGTACGGGTACAGTCCACCTTCTAGGTGGACCATCTCTTGCGGAGAGAGGTCATGGTCACATATGTAACACCTACTGTGGTCTGACTGTATCTCCGAGCCATTTCTTTCCATCCACATGTGGGAATGGTCTTCAGATGGGTTGGATTGGTCTTGAGTTGAGTAAGATTGGTCTTGAGTTGGGTGGGATTGGTCTTGAGTTGGGTGGGATTGGTCTTCAGTTGGGAGGTACTCTTCATCATCTCCGAAACTTGGTTCCTCCTTAACAGAAACCGATATATGTTCCCCACCTGAGAGGTTGTCCTCATCAGATGAGACGGGTTCCTCCTTAATATGATCAGACGTTGAACGAAGTGTGGGGAGAGCTCGGCCTTCCTCCTTACACAAGGCTGACTCCATCTTAGATATCTGATGTTTATAATGGAACGCCAAGTCAGTAGGCCCGTCTTCTACATGGAAAGCCGCTTCCTCTTTAATTTGAGGAGATGCAACCGGAGCATGAACCTCTGCCATGGAGGAGTCAGATTGTCTACGTTCCTCTGTGACATCTGGAGAGGGCGCCATATTGGGTTCCTTGGGATTGATTATTTGAAGGTCTTTCCGAAGGTCCAGTGATGGTGAAGTAAGCTGGTTTACTCGGCATAGCGAATCTGTTGGACAGAAAGAGAAGGTGATAACAAGATGGACAGATGGGGAGTCATCTGGACATTCATATGGATGTGAAAGTAACGGTAGGAGAGGAGACGTTGTCTTATATGTAGATGGGGCTCATCTAGGCCAAGTAGCCAGACAATGTTCATTTCCAAGTCCACTGAGACTTCAAGGACCATCCTTTGGGCAATGTTGACCTTGCAAGTCCCAATGGAGATGTTCTCCATAACCAAACCAGCAAGCTCAGCTAAGACAACCAGTTTAAGGACACTCCATTCTCTCTCCTTCCTCGCTTCCCTTCACATGGCCGATCCACTTCACTATGGACCGACCCAGAAACGTTCTACTATGGTCTCCAACCCTTTCCCAACACTGAACAAAGTGGGGAATCCCCGGCATAGGCAGCTGTATATCTCTAACACCTACACAATAATTGGTCTTCAGGAAGTGGTTCAAACGTCTCTTACCTGGGGACTTCAGGACCCGCCAGTTGTCCACTATGCCGTTCTCCTCAAGGTCCTCCTGTCCTTCTCCAGGCCTCTGTTCCTGCATTACAAAGACACAGCAACTCCTTATAGGAACCTGACACACACAATGATACAGTCACCATCCAGACACACCCCTTGTCTGTTCCTGGATCATGTCCCAGAATTCCCGGCACCGCTCACCTCTCCTGTCAGCAGACCAATGATCTTCTGGATGACTTCAAGGATCTTCTGTATGTTGGGTCTCTTGGACTTTGGTTGAGGCAATGTGATGGTCACCTGGTTGAAAAATTTCACAATGAAAGACCAACATTATAGTGTGACCTCCCAGAATCCTCCTCACCCCTCCGGTCAGGTCTGTGTCTTATTAATAGAGATAAGAGTGATGTCATGTGACCTTCCAGAATCCTCCTCACCCCTCCGGTCAGGTCTGTGTCTTATTAATAGAGATAAGAGTGATGTCATGTGATCTCCCAGAATCCTCCTCACCCCTCCGGTCAGGTCTGTGTCTTATTAATAGAGATAAGAGTGATGTCATGTGA